CTAATTGTAAATAACACGGGCGAAGGTACAGTAAATAGTGACAAGTATTCAGATCCGAAGAAAATTTTGATAGTCAATGTAGATGAAATAAGGCAAAAATGTCACGAGGAGACACAGGATAACAATAAAAAGCAAACAAAATGAACTTAGCTATATATCTAATAAGAAGAGAGAGAGAGAGAAAGAGAGAGGGGGGGGGGGAGGAAACGTCTCTCAATCATCGGAGTGTCTCTTATTATAACTACACGTGATGCGCGAGTACGATAATTAAGAAATTTTCTAGTCGCCATTAATATGAGCAGCTGCGATATACGTCGATGACGTACCACCGCTGGCTGACAGCCGCCTGAGGCGACTTTCGTTGCCTCGCCGTAAGCATTTGTTGTTGCATCACGCGGGCACATCGGTATATGGCAGCATGACATAAAAACGCGGTTAACATCGTTACGTTTCCCTTGTATCCATTAGCATACCCGATTACGATTTGCAATTCCCGCTTGTGGAACGAGATAATTAGAAAAGATTGCGTGTTCGTTTCGTACTCTGATTCGAACAACACCTCGAGCGCGCGAGGATGTCGGTTTTTCTGCTTTATTTCCGCGCCCGCTGCCGCATATAAAGCTGTAATTTCCGTTTGATGGATATCGTCGAATTACAAAAAAAAGCTTACCGGAGCCGTAATCGGAGCTCTTGGCAGTGCTTCATATTGTAACTATGTGCAATTAACATAAATAATAAAAGATGCGCTCGTAATCGTATTGTGATGATGTGTAAAGGCAGAATTCAACTGTTAGCAGATTACCGGAATTACTGTAAGATGTCTTTTTACAGATAACTTTTACACTTTGAGAGAAGAAAAAAAGTGTTTGATATTCATGATAATTGCGTAACTGTTAAAATAGTTTTAATTATAGAAACTCCATTTTTATAATTATTACTGCTATAATGTTAGTATTAATAATTATATTTATACTTCTACGAAAAAATATATAATTGTCATCACTAACAATGACTATAAATTATAGGTGACTCGTGAAAAGATGCTACATGGCCGACAACGGGGAAGACGCTTTCTACCAATGTAAGTGTAATAATCTTAATATTAATCTCGGTTCAATTAACTCTTCATTTTTCTCTATTTCTAAGACTTAAAAAAAGGTGAAGAATAAATTGAGCCAAGATTAATCTATATTGGTACACTGAGAAAAAAATATAGTTAATTTTAATAAATATTTAGTTCAATATTGCCAACTAAACATTTATTTACAGTAAGTAAATATTTATTCAATAAAAAAAAAATGATTGTTAAATCGAATTAACATTTCTTGTATGAAACAAATATATCTTTATAGTTAATAAATATTTAGTTGGCAGTATTCAATTAAATATTTATTAAAATTGACTATATTTTTTTCAGTCATTCTACTATTAGTAGAAATATCGCAAACTTGGTAGCGACACGAACATGTACCATTCACGCCTTGTCACGCCTTTTTATATTTCTATTGTATATTTTTATGTCTTTGACTGCCGCTTGATAATTATTAATACATTATAGATGATACATTATAGAACAAATAATGGCCAATAATTATGGTAACATGTAATTATAGTCACAAGTACTTAGAAACTTTTTCCCCTTACAATTAGTGTAAAAGTTTTGTGGAGAGATTTTTGACATAGATAAAAAAACGCAAATGTTAATTGCCGTCGAGATACAGCTTACCGATCGCATCCTCGATCGATGGACCGCGGTGGTGGATAATAGTCTCTCGCGCATACCGTCTCGAACTCCTCGAAGAGATAACGCGTTTGAAACACGGATCCAAACCCCTCTCGGCTTAGGCTCCACCACGATAAAATCTGACATCGCTAAGCCGTGGACACGGAGATCCTCGTTTAGAAAGAAGAATCTGGTAGTCTTGCCGTGTTATTCGATGGTCAATCGAGATTAGAGAAGGCACGATCTCTGGAGCAGAATGGTCTCATTATTTCGTAGCAACGACTTCCACCGGCAATCGTTACGCTCCGTAATGATGATTAATGGCTGCATTACGCCCTTTATTACTTTAGGAAATATTGTATACGAATGGAGTAGATATATTGGTTCCGGTAAATCGCAAAAGCGGTTTTACATAGTGCAAATTAGTCATTAAAAATTTCTATATTCGTGATTTTCTTTTTCTTTATATTAATATTTCTATGTTAATATTTTTTTTCAATAAGTTCTTCGTAGTGTTTTAAGATGCATTATCATTATTATTAACATGTTTTATATGCGATAATTTTAAGTGACTATCAGCTTGTGACTCACTAGTGTTTTATTTGTTTATGTGTATGTTATATTTGTTAAGTATATAACATGTTCTTCATATAATGGTTAAAAAATTACAAAAATTATTATTATAAAGAAAAAGAAGATATTTCTTTTCGTAGCCAAAATATTAAACTGAAAGTTCAACGTGGTTCACGGTATTTGTGACCCACGTTCTTTACTTATTTAATTTTCTATTCTCTAAATCTGAAATAGTGGATAGTCATTAATTACCCAGTGGCATATTTTGCACTGATAATTAGTGAAATTCAATTAAAAAAGGAAGAATATTTGAGTATTATATAATTAAAATACTGATACTTGCACATTAATTTCAATCTTTCAATATCATATTCATTAAATTTAAGCAAAGTAAAACAAAGTTAGCTAAATCACATAATAAAGATTAGCTAGGTTAGGTTAGATCTCATATTTAATTCACTGATTACCAGTGGCACTGATTATCATCAATGATTATCCATTGATTCAGATTTAGAGAATATTCTTATTATTATTTATTATTTGTTGTATCATGAAATCACTATCGCGATATGCAACGCAGCTGAATATGAGAATTAATCCATGAACATGTATTTTTTTTTATAACAAATATACACCTAGATTTGTATAATTTCTAAGATCTAAGACTCGGCATATATTTAATCTAATCTCATAAAGGCATGTATTTATAATAAAATTTTTGAAAACAAAATATCAAACAACGGACTATCCAAGACTTTGCGTCGTATGCTCGCAGATGTCTTCTTAGCTCATATTGCTTTTAGTCTCCTTTCGTGATGCATTCTAGGAAGTGCTACAGAGAGGTTGGTGCAGACTCTTTTGTTTACCCTCTGCAAACCATGTCGCATTGTCGTAACGTAATTGGCGGAACAAGCGCAACGAGGCCCAGAGATTGATGAGCCCTCTTTCTTTTCTTTTGAGATTCCGTCGGAACCTTTGGAATTGCACTCTTGTTATATAATGTTCAATGACTTTCGTTGCGACACTCTTGAGTTGCGTATCACTCAAAAAAAAGATATAGTAGTTGCAATTATATATAAGTGACAACTATACATGTTTTACAGGATTAAAAAAAAATGTTAAATAAATTATTTTATGATTGCAATTAATTTTATACATAAAATTTATATAATTATCACTTACTACAGTAGCTAGCACTAGTTTTTTCTGGTATAGCCATTTTTAAAAACATTGCATGAATTAATTAATATATATCCCTGTACATTGATTACATTAATTTATATAAATATAATTAATTCTTTAAATTAATTATATTTATATAAATGGAAGTAATTTATGTAATTATTATATATTAATTTACATTCTTTCAATGTGAATTAATATCTAATAATTACATGAAATATTTCCATCATTCATACATTTCGTCATCTCGGGGGATTTTTCTTTTGGAATACTTTTGTTCAATCCTCTTATCCTATTATCTCCTATTATCTCGACTTTCAGCTATTCAGTTTTCTTGTGCTTACGCTTAATCCTAAAATGCTACCTAGCTCTTTTTCACGCGATCACTTAAGGCTTGAAGAAAACGGGACGTGAGACCGGAGAGCCGTCCGCTCTCTTAATCACGGCACTCCGCAGCCGCGAGTGGCCGGTATTATTATGTGGTCAACCTATTAGGGACTCGCATTATCAGCCCCCGTGAGTAGGTGCATAAGGTCTCCCTCCCTTCTCGTTGTCATCGCACTGACAAAGGTTCCACGATTTATCGCGCATCCGCGAGTAAATGTCTCTTGAATAACGACTACAATAGATTTTACGACATGTGCTCATTAAGCAAATGCGACGAAGAAATACTGAAGGTTTCGGAGCTCTATTTATTTCTCTGAACGAGTTAACGATAATCGGCGATATAAATCTAGTAGATCATAAATACGATCGCTGCAAAACGATTCAGCGGGCAAAATATAAGATTTAGCCTTTCGCGAGGAATAATCGCATGTGATTCACCGATCAGTGCTTTATATTAATAAAGCTTTATATTAATAAAAGTGGCGTATATCTGAGTCGAAATGGCGACAACTTTCCTCTTATTGGCTATTTCGATCATTATTTATTTATTTCCTAGTTGTCTGTAATCCAATAAGTATTATTGATATATGATATATTGGCCAATATGATCAATAAATTTCTTGCAGTGAAATCTCACTCTAAGAAAATGAAAATACAACCATCCTTCACTTCTCGAAAAAGAGTGACAATTTTTTTTACTCTTTTTTTAAAATGAATTTTCACTTCAAGCGAAATCTCACTTTTTTTGGAGTGAAAATTGTTATTCTTTTTCAAGAAGTAAAATATTTTTACTTGTTTTCAAGAGTGGTTGTATTTTCACTCTCTTGGAGGGATTTCGCTGCAAGAAATTTAGAGTGTAGAGAGTTTATACTGATAAAGTATACATGCGACACGCTTGATGGTCGTTCGGCGCTTTTGCGGCGGTTTTACTGGCTTACCGTATCCAGCCTGCGTAATCGGGGAAACGTTAGGACGGTAGTTAAGCCAGAGCACAAAAGTACGCGGAAGAAAGAGGGCGGCAACCATCGTCGAATCGTCACCGCGGCACGCGTCTCGTGCACACCCGGTGCGTAAACTCGACAAGATCCACCTGTCGATGAAAAGTATCGAGAATTCTCTCGTTCTTCTCTTTCCCATTCGTCCCTCCTCCTTCTTTTGCTCCATTCCCTCAACCACCGAGCGAACGGTGCGATGTAACCGCGTTGAATAAATAACCTGTTACGTCGTAACAGTTTCTTCGCCTGGTCCCGCGCGTGTGTAATCCCCATCTCATTAGCAATGCCCTTGTACGCTTCTCGTTTTTTGTCTTCTGTCTCGTTCTTTATTGAAAAGAGCGACGGAGAGAGAGAGAGAGAGAGAGAGAGGGGGGGAGGGGGGGGAGAGGGGCGTCCTCCGAACAACTACCTGTCGACAAGCGGAAGTACAATTCCCGATACTCTGAATTTAGTATCCATACTCCGTTATAGCCGGTCGCGTATTTATACAGTTGCGATTTCCTGTGCACGCGCAGAGCGATAATTATTTTTTCTATCTCTGATCTTCCAGCAGCAAAGTAATCCTTATTTATCTTTGCGTTCTAAAAAATTAATTGATTTAATTAACACAGGTATTAATAAGTATCCAGATTCGTGTGTATTTCTATTAAGACTCCCTCTCGTTCGTGATCCTTCGAGTATAAAATGTAATTGGTGCTCCTTCGAGGATTGCGAAGATAATGATTTATTAGATTTTTCTGCCGGTTTATTCTTTCGCTGTTATTACGCGAATATTATTTAATGCCGAATAGAGTCATCGTTTGTTTTGTCTTATATGAAATATTATGTGCGGCGTGTATGGCAATTAGTGAATTCAGATTCCACCTGATAAATTAGTAATGTACAGCGTATTATACGTGGCAATCAGTCTCATCTATATTTTTCGTATGTATAAGTCCATTTAACTGTTATGAATATTGACTTGTATATAATTATGGAGGTGAAATTTATTTGCGATATATATCTCGCTGTTTACGTATAATAAGCTGTGTGTTAAAGTGATTTTATTTTTATTTCTTTCCTGACTGAAACTGATTCGCGCGCGCAAAATAGAAATATATGTACGTATATTCTCAGTCGTATTTGAAATTTTATTATGATTTACGATTTATACGAAATTGAGATGGAATGAAGATACAATTCTACTTAGGTTCTTTTTTCGGTGATTAGCTTTTTTATATAAAATTGATCGTAATATAAAAGATTATAATATGTAACTTCTTAAAGACATTACAGAAATTTATTTATGTACTGTATTCATTTGTGTATAATAAAAAAGTAGGAAGTTACTTTTTAATTTTTATTAAAAACTAAAATTCAGGCCTTTATTCCAGCCATCTTCTCTATTATAAATTTCTACTAGCATTGAAATAACTTTTAGTTGTACCTATTATTCTAACAAATCGTATAAAAATATGTGGGGTAATTATAAGAATTTTAAATTTATTATTTCTTATCGTTAAGTATAAGTATATGAAATTATAATGAATTTGATTTTTATACGTATATGAAATTATAATAAATTTGATTTTTATACAAGTTCAGTGATGCTGGCCAGCTTAAATAAACGTTAGATATCCATTGCATGTCACCAAAAACGTCGAATGACTGGAAGCGAGCGTGGGTCGAAAGTGTGAACGTTACTCGATTGCCGAAGGTGGAAATGTATGCAAACACAGGACAATCTCGCAGTCGACGGCGATTGCAAGGCACTGTGGCTTTGAAAAGATTTGCAGTTGGTTAAGCGGGTTAACCGCGAGCGAGAATGTGACGAATTTACGCGCCGCTTCTGACAATTCGATTTCGCAGTCGCCCAAGTTCGACCGGAACGGACGCACTCAGAATAACATCGTGCTGGTTCAGCGGCTAAACGGATATTTCGATGCTAATTCCATGCTGGGAACGGGCTATCATTCGGACTCGTTGAATTCGTTGCAGAGAAAATTTCATCAGCGCTGAGAGAGAGCCAATCTGCTTTTTACATTTAATTAAAATCAAGTAATAAACATACATTTTTGTTAAACATATACGATTCACATGAAACAAAAATGCTTGCACTTATGCTTATCA